AGGGCCCAGCCTTCCTGGACCCCTTTGCCCTTCAGGACCGAACGATGAAATGATTAGCTCAGTGGATGCAGGGAGAACAGTGGATGTAGCTTATCTTGACTTTAGAAAGGCTTTTGAGACTGTCTCCCATAATATCCTCATAGACAAATTAATGAAGTATGACCTAGACAAGAATATGGTGAGGTAGACTGAAAACTGGCTGAGCGGCTGGGCTGAAAAGGTTGTGATCAACAGCACAAAATCCAGTCACTAGTGATGTTACCCTGGGGATTGATTCTGGAGCCAATACGGTTTAACATGTTCGTTAATGACCTGGATGATGGGACAGAGCGCACCCTCAGCAAGTTCTCAGAAAATAAAAACTAGGGAGGAGTGGCTGATAGACCAGAGAGTTGTGCTGCCATCCAGAGGGACCTCGACATGGTGGAGAAATGGGCTAACGGGAATTTCATGAAAGTTAACAAGGGGCAATGTAAAGTCCCCCACCTGGGCAGGAATGACCTGGGGAGGTGTGAGACTTCACATTTCCCTTTGTTACGTTTCATGAGACCCCATGTGTGGGACTGTTTTACTAGGAAGGTGGTCAGACACTGGAGCAGGCTGCCCAAAGGAAACTGTGGAGTCTCCATTCTTGGAGATGTTCAAAACCCAACTGGGCACAGCCGTGAGCAACCGTCTCTGGTTGACCCTGCTTTGAACAGAGGGACTGGACTAGGTGATCTCCAGAGGTGCCTTCCAACCCAACTATTCTGTGATTCTGTATGAGTATACATAGCCTATAATCTTGATAAGGTCAAGATTTTCTCATGTGACTCATTGCTTACAAGAGCATCAGTCTTAGAGGTCTTGGGCTGCAACACTGAGAATGGAGAGTTCTGCCCTTACCCAGCCTCTATGCTACTATTGGGCCTTGCCATCACATCTCATGTTGGGTGTCTAAAACGGAAGCTGCTTCAGACCACTAGCCACTTGGGAAACGCAGTGACCTTTTAGCAACTAAGACATGGAAAAAGCACATGTGGTATTTCAGGGGGCTTCCCAATGAGTGGACTCTAGATTTTGCAGGAAAAACATTGTCACTGTTAGTGTTTAATTGCCACAGAAGCTCTTTATGTGACCTCCCTTAGCAGACCTGTTGTGGTCAGGGCAAGCAGAGGAGGTCTGCTTTTAGGGGCCATTTTAGACAGGCGGATCAGTCTCATTTAATAAAGCCAGGTCAACGCTACAGACTTGTGCCTGATCTTGGACTGACAGAGCTGTGCCAAGCTGAACTCCTAACATGGAGATTCACGGAGCAAAAGCATGCTTCTACTAGTTTGGCATGTTTTGCCCATGGCAAGGCGGCTGCTTTATACTTATGCAAACACAGCTTTGCCAGTATAGTTGTCTCTCCGCTGGGAGTTTCTTTGCCAGCATAGTAAGCAGTGCGCCTTGTACCAGAAAAACGCCCTTCATGTAGACGTAGCCCAAGGGACTGATGCTGCTATCCCAAGTCAGTACTATGGGGGCTGCCCACATACAGCTCTGCCAGTGCCCATCACTTCTGCCTTATGACACTCAGCTTCAGCACTGCCATACCTCGGTCACCCCACAGTGCTCTGGCTATGGCCTTTGGGGTCAGCAGCTCCCAAACTAAAGGGGAGGCTCTGTCATAGAAGCAGATGCACAACCTAATGGGCTTCTTGATTTACATCTGTATAACAAGAGGAGAAACAGGCTCTCAATCTCCACAGTGCTCTGTAAGCTTTAACTAGTTAATGGAGGGGAATCCCAGAAGAACAGCACTCTTAGCAGGGATTGCTGACAGATTCAGTCTATTAGCCACTGTTCTTATGCTTTTACAAAAGGTAGTGTCATTAAGAACAGGCCTGTCACATTCCACTTGGCATGAGCATCTCCCTCCATCTAACGTCTCCTCTTGTGGTTGATGAAGCATTTTGTTACCTGTGATCCAAGAAACTGTAGAAAAACCTCAACTGGAATTTTTGTTAGACTTTCTTGCTTAAATTGCCCTGTATGAAATGAGACCCATAAAAATTTGGTGATGAGGGCTGGAGGGGCAGGATGGGCCTGCAAACAGCAGAAGAGTGAAACATGTAATTTCTTGAACTGACTTGGTTACTTTAGCTAGCTGTGACAGTTCTGCAACTCCTTTTGGGGCTTAGGAAGGTTTTAATGATTCATCTCTCCACATTTTTCCTTCTTCTTTTGAAAAAAACAGAACAGAACAAATATGACTTATGAGAAAATGTCCAGAGCCCTACGCCACTACTACAAACTAAATATTATCCGGAAGGAGCCAGGACAAAGGCTTTTGTTCAGGTAATTTTTTCTTTTCTTTGCCATTCCTTTCTACAGACTATTAGTTTTTGAAGATGGAGGATGGAATTGTGTGTGGGATACTTCATTGCCACAGCTATAACACAGGTGACAGTGGGCATATATTTGTAAAAGCTGTCTAGACCAGTGCTTCCCAGCTTTCAAGGCAACTGCACCAATTTATGAAAATATGAGCCTGTTTCAATGATCAGTGGAGTCAACAGAAGCCTTTTCACTAACTTCAAGCAGGCTGCGCCTTGTTTAAGACCTTAGCTAAATGATTTGTGATCTCAGCCAAACTGCTGGAAAACCCACTCCAAATTAAATTCTCAGACACAGCTGCCAGTGAAAGCTAAGCACGGATCAGGCATTTCCTCAAGTGCATCAGCATCACAGAAGAGAAGTGCTGATGACCATGTCTTCAGCAGTGCTGCCTTCAAGGAAGGAGGGACCTGTTCATAAAACCTAATGCATCAGATTGGATGATACAACGAAGAATTTAGGAAATAGTGCCCGAAACAGCGTAAAGCAGGGAGTTTGTTACTTGTCCAAACTTGAGTGCAGCTGGCAGAGAGCAAGAGTACTCCAGTTCTTTTCAGGCAAGACCAGCAAATCCTAGTGCGTACGTCTGACCCACAGAGCACTGAACTCAGACCAAAGACTGCTTTGATGTCAGTGGTCTGGATCTAGTAATGTGCTTGGAAATTATATCAATAGGAAGGCAGTCTTGGAGTTTGTTTTCTTAAATAGCTAACAGAACTGCATTACCACTCAAACTATCTACAGCTGAAAAGGTTTCTGTGGAATGTCTTGTTTATGTCAGCTCTTAGAAGACTTAGATGGGGGAAGGAGGGTGAAGGGAAGAAGGAATCACAGGCAAAATCAACTACATGATTTTAATTTTTTTTGTGGAAAGTTAAACAAGGTTGCTCCATCAGTAGCAGTAGCAAGGAAAGCAGCCTGGATTGCTGTGGCCTTGTGTGAAGACTGTGCTGCCCCATGGGAATTCTGTGATGCTGAACAGTGAATGTGCTTACCTTGGAGCCTCTCCTGTGGTGGGGGCACAAACAAAACAGGAGTCCCTCTCTTATCAACCAGGCTGCCTATTTTCTCAAAACTGAAGAAACTTAATACCCTTGGAGACCTCAGTTCCTCTGTTAGACTTGCCCAAAATTGACCAACAGATTCAAAGGTCACCAGGGAGCATAAAACATGAGCATATAAGCCTCATTTCCTTCGGAAACTGGGAAAAAAAACAACAAAGCATTTTTTGCACAATTCCCAATAAAAACTTATTGATGTTGTTTTCTTAGACCTATTTATATCTGAAGAGAAAAAGAAGAACAGCTGCAAAAAATCAAGCCATTAATGTGCCTTTCTTGGCTATTTCTTGCAAACACAGAAATAATAGGAAATGTGACTTTATAAGTAACATGCAGGCAGTTGTTGTCTGCAGATATATGTACAGAACTTTAAGTAAATGGAGTCAGAGAAGGGATTTCTAACAGGTTGCCTGAGTGTCTTCTGCAACAAAAGAGGTCACAGATACTGTTTCTTCATTAGCTTGTAGTTCTGGGTTGTTTTTTTAAAATTAAATCAAATGCTATTACAAATACCCATGCTTTGAGTTTCTTGACATGACTTAAAACACAGACCAGAAAGAATACCCAAAGTACTGCAGTACAGTTCATTTCCCACATGGTTTAGGAGACAGAGCAGACAGAAGGTAGGGACAGCAGTGGGATTGCTCTGTTTTGGTTTCATCCTCATGCAAGATCAACAAGACAAGCACAGTGTTTAAATCAGGGCACAGTCTAGCCCTTAGGCTTTGGTGCGTTTTCGCAGTGTAGCCAGGGACTGATTCACCACTTCTGTATGCTAGTTTTTCACCACCGTAACACCATTTAGATCAGCAGCGTTCTTCCAGCATACAAATGGGAGTGACACAGCAGTGAGTCACAGCCTTTTTTTTTTTTCCTAAATGCATATGTGCACATGATTTCCAAAATTAGAAGGGGTGGCAAAAGGTTAGTTCCAGGCTGTGCTATGCGTTTGCTGAGAGACTCCAGATTTTTCAGACAGAAAGCCCTCAGCTTTCTAACCTCAGAGGCCGCAGAGGAGGCAAGGCTTGCCCATGAGCTTCAGCAGTGATTTTTCTGGGTCAGTGATAGTAACGAGGCTCCTGTCAGCTGGTTTTGTTTTCACTGGGGCAAGAATACTGAGCATATCATCAACCTGAAATAAAATAAGCTCCTCTGATTAACACATTTTGTACTGCTGAATGGTAGCCAGTACATCGTTAATGAAAGACTCTGAAATTTTGTAATACTTCCAGCATAAACATCTTTCATCCTAATTTCTCCAGAAGTACTTATGAGTTAGGAAAGCGATTTGTGTTTAAACCCGTATTTCATCCTTCCTGTGCCACTCTCCCCTCCTATGCCCGTAAATTCAGAAAGAAAAAGCAGAGCTTTTCCGTGCTATGTCTCTGCAGTAGTACACAAAAGCATCCTGGCAAAGATCAAGACTGCAGACCTGATCTGCAGGCTGGTGGATGTCCTTTCCCATTTCCTACTGCTGCCGTGCCTCCCCAGAGGCAGTTTCTGTTTCTAGCCCCCTGCAGACTTACTGCATCAAGACATTAGTGCTGGGAGCCGTGGCATTCATTTACAGAGGATACTGCTTCATTACAATTACGCTTGCTACAATCACACAGGAAGAGACTGTCTTTGCTTACAGTTCCTTAGCCCAAAAGCTTTTTCTTTCAGGGCTTTTTCCATTTCCCAGAACTTGTTCTGACTTGGTCCTTGGCTTTTTCCACCGCTGTTCCTTTGGTGTTTCATATTCCTCTTCACTCACCTACACACAAGCCTGCACAACCGAGTAGCCCTCTGCCTCTCCACACCTTGCAAGTGCTTTTGCTTTGAAATGTGCTGGCCTTTAGGTCTTTAATGATTCTGTCACCAGACACCATAAATGAGCATACCTGTGGCATACTATCATCTTACATGACAACAGCAAATAATATGAGGGAGAAGAAGTAAATGTCATTCTTTGGAAAAGACTATGGGGTTTGGTACAATTTTGGACTTTGAAGGAGCAGGGGTAAATGCCTGTGATTTTTTTTGTTTCCTTTCCAGGTATGGAGGAGGGAAGACACCAGTAGGCTGGGGGAGAAGCTGGGAAATACTAAGTCATTGGGAGGATACAGCAAAGATGATTTTGGAAGCTGTAGAGCTCAGGGGCCTCAATGTCTTGATGAAGATAAAAGCTGAGGCCACTGGGAAATCCACTTGTTTCTCTGTTTTGCAGGTTCATGAAGACCCCAGATGAGATTATGAGTGGCCGAACAGACCGCCTCGAGCACCTTGAATCCCAGGAACTGGATGAACAAATATACCAAGAAGATGAGTGCTGAAGGGAACTGGTGCACCGCCTCTGTGGGTCCATGGGAGAAACATCTGCCCAGATGGCTGGCACAGTTTGGGAGGGGAAGCAACAACCCAGAAGCAGTACTTGGGGTCGCCGCTTAGCTTGAAGACCACGCAGGACCTGAAGCACCTTAACAAAACAAACTAACAGGCAGAAGTGGTGCTGGCAGAAAACTAAAGAGGAGAAAGCCTGGACTTATGCACTACTTCACTGTTCCTACCAAGTCTCCCTTGAGTTCTTTCTTTCTTTTTGGTTTGTTTCAGTTTTGGGGAGTTTTTTGTTGGTCTTTTTCCCTAATAAACATGCAGTTTGACTTTCCTTATCTCACATAGGACAAGACATCAGATTATGCTTTTTTTTGGAAGGCTTTCCTATGGAAATAGAGCGCTCTTATTTTCTGTGCAAATCTCATGACATAACATCGCATAAAACAATAGCAACACAGAAGGGATTTGCTCAAGGGTTCCAGTTTGCTCGGATCAATTTACATGTGCTGCCACTGGGAAATGTGTTGAAGCTACCAAAAGAATTTACTACACATACCTGTCAAATGAAGAGGAGTCACCCTTCACGTGTAGGCTGGGATATTATCCCAGCATAGCTTGGGCTCACAACGAGTCCTGCGAGTGGCTATTAACTGCTGGAATATGGACCAAAACCAATCACCTAAGTGCTCCGGGGAGGAGAAAAATAAATGTGACAAACCTCTGCAATCGACTGATGTTGACATTTTCCCTCCCTCTAGCAAAGAAGTAATAGAATGGAGCGGGGGGGCGGGGGGGAGGGCGGGGACAATACGTATATATATGTGTATATATAGAAATATTTCACATATATATATATGTATATGTAACCCCCACAATGCAGAATTTCAGCTCAAAGCTTTCTATAAAAAAGCAAAGGCTGAAGCATCTGTAATTACAAAAGGGAGGGGTGTTTCTTATACCTTGTAGCAATTTTGGGGTGAAAGGTGAAGGACTGTTCCTTACATGGTAGGGAGAAAGCAAAGGGACCCATCACATGGTTTGTGTTACCCAGAAACCTCTCCAGGATCATTTTGTGCTGCTGGAGAGGTAGGTGATTCACCAATCTGAAAACTGATGGTAGAGAACTAGAGACCAAATAGCTATACTTGTATCTTGTAATTGATTTTGGCTTTGTTTTGGGATTTGTTTATTTTATGCCTCCCACTACCCTCCCCCACCCCACAGCTCTGCCGTCAAGGGAGCTTGTCTCAGCTTGCCCTTTTTAACATGATTTAAAAGACAAGAAAAAAAGAAATCCTATGGCCATGTTGCTTTCTTGGTTTTTGGTTTTGTTCTGGTTGCAAGGTTCCCCGTTTTTTACACCCCCGATTTGGTTTGCTGCACTGAGGGTGCTTTGCATGAGGCGAAGAGCTACGCCAAGTGTGGTCACAGGAAGCTCAGCAGTCCTTGATGCCCGGTACGGGAGAAACTATTGGCCTTTTCCATTTCACATTGCTGGGGCCACCATGACAGGAAAGTCTGTGGTGTCCAGGTGTCCAGCAATCCATTATCAGTGGTCCTTTTAATGGGAGGAAGATCTAGCAGCAGAAATGATGCTTGCAAAGGGAGAAGATGTATAGAGAAACTGTGCAGGAATCACATGGTGTCTGGAAGAAAGCACATCCACACCAGTTCATTAAAACAGAAGGCCTCTTTTATGGGAATATGCGTACTAGAAATGGAAAAAATCAGTGGGCTAATCTAACCCGTTTCAACCAAAAACCAAGGTACATTCCCACGATAGAGCTTTTATCAGCTATTAAACACAACATTCGATCTTACCACATAGTTAAGAAGTGGGTCAATCCAGGAAAAAATGGCGCTCGGCAGTGAATAGTGTCCCCTATGTTTAAACAGAGATAGTCCAATCTCACAAAAGACTTACTATTGAGTCACAGGTTGTAGAAGGAACAGCTTTGTTAAGGGCGTAGATACACATCATGCAAAGAAGAGAGAGTTTTCAGAGTCAGTATCTGATGAAGAACGACAGGGTATACTTTTCTCCCTAAGCTTTTCCCAGCGACATTTTTTTATTAACTCAATGTTAATACATTACAACTCCCAGCACACCGTGTACTTGACTTTTTCTGCCTCAGAAGAAAAGACACGGGAGTGTATATCAGATGAGCAGACAACCTGTCACCTGTCTCTGCCGTGAGTCTGAAGTCCTTGAAACTCAGGCGGTGTGAGATTGGGAGACATTCGGACTTCAGTGGTCACAGAGCTGAAACCAAAGGTCCCATGAAACCAAGGGGCCAAGAAGTTACTCTCCTCTGTCACCCTGCTCAAGGGCACCCAAGTTGCAGCCATGTCTCGGGAGCTGGGGTGAAGAGGGTGTGGTAAAGGGGTGAATAGGAATTACAGATGAAGTGTGATCAGAAGTGTCAATGTAAAGAAAGGCTCGTGCTGGTTTCTTGTGTTTCTTAGGGTGTTCAGTGGTAGGAAGAAACCAGGTTTGTGCAGCGAACGATTCATATCCTTTATTGCTCTGGCTGTGACAACCGCATAACCGCATTATTTTCTTTTGCCTGTTACGAGATGGTGAGGGAAAAAAAAAGATGATAGGGACCTTCTATCTAAAGTGCTTTGATGAGCCACAGGTTTTTGTCATGGCCAAGGTGCACACTGCAAAATACAGAGAACGAGAGACAATCCACCAGTATAAGCCCATATGCTCACTGTGTATGCTAGCAAACAAAGCGCAAATCCTCAGCGCTGGGTAAGACGGGAAAAAGCAAGGAATCCTGAAATCACACCTGTTGTCCGATAGGGGCATTTTCTAGGGGAAATTTTGTAGAGGAAATGTTTACCTTTACCAAAAATGCAATCACTTTCACCTGCAGAATCTAAGTCAACGGGGAAAAAAAAAAATGGTGGCTGTTGGAAACTCTTCCAGTTCACACGTAAAGGAAATCTTAAGACAACTTCTTCTCCACCACAACCACAGAGAAGAAGTTCTCTCAAGGCTGATGCTAGTTCAATGAAAATAGCCTTTGAACTTGGAGCAGGCCGATCCCACAGAGGCCCTTCCTGGCTGGTGCTGTCCCCTGCCTCCTGCCAGGTCTGCGTGGTGCAGCAGTGAGTGGCATGGGTGACACTGCAGCTGCCAGAACTGCAGGGGCTTGGGACCTGTTGTGGGAGCTGCAGGATTTGAACTGCTCTTGGGGTCTTGGAAGCAAGTTTACCAGCTATGACTACAAAAAAAAAAGTAAATAAAACGAGGCTAGAGCAGCTGCAGTAGACAGATTCCCATCTACCTCACATCCAAATGGCAGATACATGGACTGCAAACACAGCATTAACGTACTGAGCTACAGGAACACTTGGCTGCCCGTCTGGGCTAGTAAAGGTAACTGCCTGTCCACCAACGCTGGCACCCACCTTCCCTCCCCAGTTTCTGATTTCCCAGTGTAGAACTTGCCAGCAGCAAAGCAGCCGAACTTTCTGCCTTTGCCACTGAAGCAAGTGGCAAAAAGGGAGAAACAGTCTTAACAGTCTCAACCTTGGGGACACACACAAGCCGTCTGGACACAGTCCTGGGCAACTGGCCCTAGGTGGCCCTGCTTGAGCAGGGGGGTTGGACCAGATGACCTCCAGAGGTCCCTGCCAACCTCAACACCCAACAAAAGATCTTCACACTGTGTAGTTAAGTGGGACCTTCATTACCATCGGCTTGCTACAAGTCTGAACAAGCCACAAGCCGGTCAGGTAGGACACGCTGCAGTTCCACAGCAGAACATTTTCTTGATTTAAGTTTGAAACCTTTTGACTGCCTCTCCATCCAAAGAACACTACTGGGGCCCTTTCTGTGAACACTAAGTCACTGCCACCCTCCCCAGATTTCAAACTCCACACATGCATTCTCCACATCTCTTTGTCAGACTGCAACCACATGCAAATCCAGAATGCATCAGTTCGAGGTCTTTTTTTTTTTAAATAAAATTCTAGTCTGTTTTTATTGATGATGGCTTTTTGTTTTTTTAAGGTGTGGGGCTAAGGGACTGAATCAAATGAATGTAACAAAACAACAACAAACAAAAAAGCCTATTCTCAGGGCCAGTGAGTTGCAAATAATTTTTAAAATGCCTGTAATTACATCATCTCAATAAAAAAGTTTAATATAAAAGTGGGAATGCCAAATTTTGTTGGTGCAATCATTGCTACAAGGTCCTTTCTTTTTAAAAACTATGGTACCCAAGTATCTACAGCACATAACAGCTATTTTCAATCAGGAAAAGAAACCTGCAGGCTTCCCATGCCCAAACATGTATGAACAGTGCCTGGAGCTTCCTTGGGAAGCATTGTTCGGAAAATTTAAGGCTGTCCCTTGGAGTATTTACTTTGCTGCCTGCCCTGACAGATGAGCAGAACACCCCACTAGCACCTAGATGGGTGTACCTAGTTCTCCTTCCTTCTTTTGGAGAGGATCTAGAAGCAAAAAAGACAAATGAGGTGGTGCAATGACTGTTGCATTTTTTTTATCCTGCTTAACAGGCCAGGTCAAGGACTTTGAGAGCAAAAGGTTTTCCTGTAGTATTCATCTTTGCAAACCAGCCTAGAAACCCTGCCACTAATATGCTGCCCTTCAGCACAGGGGCACCTTATTTTCCTGTCTTCAGCCCTAGCCAGGCAAGGCACAGGGATGTCAGTGCCACCAGGTGCAGGGTACTTAGGGGACAGCAAGGTGAGGCAGCACAAACTGCTCACTGCTGTCCATCACTCCCTACGGCAGCCCTTGTCTCCTTCGGGATGGGCTTACTACACTTACGGCAGCATGAGCAAGGCCCCCAGAGCGTTTCTTAACGCGCTACTCCAGATAGGTGCCACCAAACGCCGTGGCAAACGTACCTGGTCAGCGGCACACAGGCCTCATCTGGTGCTCTCTGGTGGGAGCAATTCATGGCAGGTTAAATCGTTTGGATCCCAGCTGCAGCTCAGGATGACCCCATGATAATCTGGCTGATCTGTGGGTTATCCACTCAGCTGGTCCTTGCTCAGTGTTTGTTCTTGGTTTTCTTTCACTGTTGTTTCTAACCTACAAGGCAAAGGAGTAAGCGCTAAACAAACCCCTCTCTGAACCAAGACATCAAGCAAGAAGGAAACAAAGCGTGTTGCTCCATAATTCAGTCCCTTCAGGCCATTTCCCTTAATTTTACAGGAGGAAATAGATGCATCCTACACCCTCTCACAGCTTTCTGTGCACTCTACACAACAGCAAACGCTGCAGGTTGAAGGCATACAGAGGAAGTTCTCAGTGGTTTTGGCTGTCGCTCCAGTGAGGATTAGTCTCAGCTCAAGAACTAGTCT